CCAAATGCTCTCTAGCAAACTTCAGACGGCCCGGACATGTACTGGCTTAAGCAGGGGGACACGTCTGGCACTGCAGGATCTGAGTCCCTGGCGGCGTAGTGTGTTACTGATGGTAGGCTTTGTTACGTTGGTCCCAGCTCTCTGCAGGTCATTCACTAGGTTCCCCCGTGTGGTCCTGGGATTTTTGCTCACCGTTCTTGTGATCATTTTGACCCCACGGGGTGAGATCTTGCGTGGAGCCCCAGATCGAGGGAGATTATCAGTGGTCTTGTATGTCTTCCATTTTCTAATTATTGCTCCCACAGTTGATTTGTTCACACCAAGCTGCTTGCTTATTGCAGATTCAGTCTTCCCAGCCTGGTGCAGGTCTACAACTTTGTTTCTGTGTCCTTCGACAGCTCTTTGGTCTTCACCATAGTGAGTTTGGAGTGTGACTGTTTGAGGTTTGTGGACAGGTGTCTTTTATAACTGATAACAAGTTCAAACAGGTGCCATTGATCACAGGTAATGAGTGCAGGACAGGAGGACCTCTTAAAGAAGAAGGTACAGTCTGGTGAGAGCCAGAAATCTTGCTTGTTTGTAGGTGACCAAAATAGCTTATTTCCACCATAATTTGCAAATAAAATTCCTTCCAGATCAGCCAATGTATTGTCCTGATTTGTTTTCCTCATTTGTCTCTCATATTGAGGTCTACCTATGATGCCAATTACAGGCCTCTCTCATCTTTATAAGTGAGGAGAACTTGCACAATTGGTGGCTGACTAAATATTGTTTTTTGCCCCACTGTATATATATAATATATATATATAAATATATATAATATATATATATATAATTTATATATATAAAATATATATATATATAATATAATATATATATATTATAATATATAAATATATACATACACAGTGAAGGAAATGCGTATTTGGCTTTGCTCCCCTCCTGAGTTTGAAATGTTTGCCCACTCACAAAGAAATGATCGGTCTAAAAAATCAAATGATTCGTGTATTGCAACACGAGAAGACAGAAATAGCAACAACAATTCAGCAGAAATGGCATGTCTAACAAATGATGAACTGATTTGCATGTTCATGAGGGAAATAAGTATTTGGATCCCCTATCATATCAGCAGATTTTGGGGCTACCAAATGTCTTTCATACAGGTAACAAGCCTGAGATTAGAAAGCAGGTCCCTCTTAAAGGAGTGCTGATAAATTCTCATTGTGTTCCCCTGTAAAAAACACCTGTCCCACAGGAGCAATCAAACCATCAGATTCCAAACTCTCCACGCATGCAAAGACAAAAGAGCTGTCCAAGATAGTCAGGGAACAAGATTTGTTTTCCCTCATGAACAGCAAATCAGTGCATTCATTTGTTAGACCATGCATTTCTGCTGAATTTTTTGTTGCTATCCTGTCTCTCAGTGATTGCGCGGTCATGCAAACACTGTAACCCATATGAATTTTTTAACATTTTTTTTAGACAGATACAGCGCTTATTTTGGGGGGTGGTATTTATTCACCACTGGATTTTTAACGTTTTTGCATATAAATGAAAAAGTCCAAACATTTTAAAAAAAAAAAAAAAGTTTTTATTTAATATTTTGCAAATAAATAATCTTTCTTCATAAATCTTGGCCAAAATGTATTCACTATCTTTTTTAAAAAAAAAAAAAAATTTATAACCAAAAATAATTTTTTTTTAACATTTTTTTTTTTTTACATTTTTTAATTTTATTTTTTTATATTTTTTTACATACTGTCACCCTAGCACTACAGTGTTACCATAGTGACACTGTACTACTTGTGGGGGTGATGAAGATTTTTTTTTTTTTTTTTTTGTTTACACTGAGAATGCTTTTACAACCCATAAGAGGCTATATAAAAGCAATCATTTCTCCTTCTCTCTGGGCTGCATTCCTGCAGCCATTGAGGGAAATACTACTGTGTGAGCGTGATTGGTCACAGCTTGTCACATGGTACAAAGCTGTTGTGAATAGCCCTGTACCATGTGACCTCTGTGATCATTCACAGATTACACTAGTAGTAAGCAATGATGTCAGAAGTGACATCTTGTTTACTACTATTCATGTGATCACTGGTATGGTTGGCCAATCAGTGATCAGATGATCGGGACCTCAACACAGAGGTCCTGTACAGCGTTCGGATGTTCCGACACAGTTGTCACCCGATCGCAGTGCCGCACACTCCTAGTGGAGCGCACAACAAGGTCAAGGGAAGAGGAGGAATGTTTATAAATGGCCACCGCGCCCTGCACTGCTCCTGCCGGAGCAGCCGTTATATACATGGGCTGATGGGAAGTGGTTAAATAACGGGTGCTGATACCTCCTTCCTGCCCAGGCCAATTTTCAGTCAGCCATCGCACTTTGAATGCAAATTGCGCGGAGTCATGCAATCTGTACCCAAACAAAATTTAATATCATTTTTTTTCACACAAATATAGACGTTCTTGTGGTGGTATTTATATACAACTTATACTAAAAGCATGAGTTCCAGTGAAACTGGTAAAAAAAAAAGTCAGCGGCTACAACAAAATACGTATAGGGACAACTTTGCTTTCAATCGCTTTAGTCATAGCCAGTGGTCTCCAAACTGGCCTTTTTTAAACCTTGCTTGCCAACCTTTTTTTTTTATCTGTGCTTTTAATGTTAAACCTTTTTTTTTCTCATTTTCCTATTACAATTTTTCCTTTTCCTCGCCACTGATACAAGACACACTATTGCTTTCCTCTCACCAACAATGGATAAATTACTACTTGCTGAATGTCAACAATGAGGCACTATTGCCTCCCACTGATACCAATGATGGCGCACTATTTCCTCCCACTTGACATACGCCAATGATGGGCACTATTCCTCACCACTCATCAACCAATGAAGTGGGGCACTATATTCCTCCCACTGATACCAATGATGGGGCGCTATTCCTCCCACTGATAACCAATGATGGGGCACTATTCCTCCCACTGATACAATGATTGGGCACTATTCCCCTCCCACTGATACCAATGATGGGGCACTATTCCTCCCACTGATACCAATGATGGGCACTATTCCTCCCACTGATACCAAATGATGGGGCACTATTCCTCCCACTGATACCAATGACTGGGGCGCTATTCCCTCCCACAGATACCAATGATGGGGCACTATTCCTCCCACTGATACCAATGATGGGGCACTATTCCTCCCCACTGATTAACCAATGATGGGGCACTATTCCTCCCACTGATACCAATGATGGGACACTATTCCTCCGCCACTGATACCAATGATTGGGGCACTATTCCTCCCCACTGATACCAATGATGGGGACTATTTCCACTATTCCTCCCACTGATACCAATGATGGGGCACTATTCCTCCCACTGAATACCAATGATGGGCACTATTCCTCCCACTGATACCAATGAGGGGCACTATTCCTCCCACTGATACCAATGATGATGGGCACTAATTCCCTCCCACAGATACCAATGATGTGCACTATTCCTCCCACTGATACCAATGAGGGGCACCTATTCCTCCCCACCTGATACCAATGATAGGGGCACTATTCCTCCCACTGATACCAATGATAGGGACACTATTCCTCCCACCGATACCAAATGATGGGGCACTATTCCTCCCACTGATACCAATGATAGGTCCACTATTCCTCCCACTGATACCAATGATGGGGCACTATTTCCTCCCCACTGATACCAATGATGGGGCACTATTCCTCCCACTGACACCAATGATAGGCACTATTCCTCCCACTATACCAATATAGGCACTTCCTCCACTGACACCAATGATTAGGCACTATTCCTCCCACTGACACCCAATGATAGGGCACTATTCCTCCCACTGACACTACAAATGATAGGCACTATTCCTCCCACTGATACCAATGATAGGCACTATTCCTCCACTGACACCAATGATAGGCACTATTCCTCCCACTGATACCAATGATGGGTGGAACCACTAATTCCTCCACTGATACCAATGATGGGACACTAATTTCCTCCCACTGAGACACCAATGATGGGGCACTATCCATCCACTGATACCAATGATGGGGCACTATCCTCCTCCACTGATACCAATGATAGGGGCACTATTCCTCCCACTGATTACCAATGATGGGGCACTATTCCTCCCACTGATGACCAAATGTGGGGCACTATTCCCTCCCACTGATACCAATGATGGGGCCACTATTCCTCCACTGATACCATGATGGGGCAAGATTCCTCCCACTGATACCAAATGATGGGGCACTATTCCTCCCACTGATACCAATGATGGGGCACTAATTCCTCCCACTGATACCAATGATGGGGCACTATTCCTCCCACTGACACCAATGATGAGGCACTACTATTCCTCCCACTGATACCAATGATGGGCACCTATTCCTCCAACTGATACCAAAGATGAGGCACACTATTCCTCCCACTGAGACCAATGATGGGCACTAGTCCTCCCACTGATACCAATGATGGACACTATTCCTCCCACTGACACCAATGAATAGGCAACTATTCCTCCCACTGATACCAATGATGGGGCACTATACCTCCCACTGATACCAATTATGGGCACTATTCCTCCCACTGATACCAATGATGGAGCACTATTCCTCCCACTGATACCAATGATGGGGCACTATTCCTCCCACTGATACCAATGATGGGGCACTATTCCTCCCACTGATAAACCAATGATGGGGCACACTATTCCTCCCACTGATATCAATGAAGAGGCACTATTCCTCCCACTGATACCAATGATGGTGCACTATTCCTCCCACTGATACCAATGAATGGGGGCACTATTCCTCCCACTGATACCAATGATGGGCACTATTCTCCCACTGATACCATGATGGGGCACTATTCCTCCACTGATACCAACGATAGGGGCACTATCCTCCCACTGATACCAATGATGGGGCACTATTCCTCCACTGATACCAACGATGGGGGCACTATTTTCCTCCCACTGATACCAATGATGGGGCACTATTCCTCCCACTGAAACCAATGATGGGGCACTATTCCTCCCACTGACACCAATGATGGGACACTAGTTCCTCCCACTGAACTAATTTACCAATGATGGGGCACTATTCCTCCCACTGATACCAATGATGGGGCACTAATATTCCTCCCACTGATACCAATGATGGGGCACTATCAAACCTCCCACTAGATACCAATGATGGGGCACTATTACCTCCCACTGATACCAATGATGGGGCACTATTCCTCCCACTGATACCAATGATGGGACACTATTCCTCCCACTGACACCAACGATGGGCACTATTTCCTCCCACTGACACCAACGATGGGCACCGTTTCCCCCCCCCCTCACTGACACCAACGATGGGGCACCGTTTTTCCCCCCCCCCTCACTGACACCAACGATGGGCAACCGTTTCCCCCCCCCTCACTGACACCAACGATGGGGCAAAAACCGTTTCCCCCCCCCTCACTGACACCAACGATTGGGCACCGTTTCCCCCCCCCCTCACTGACACCAACGATGGCCACCGTTTTCCCCCCCCTCACTGAGACACCAACGATGGGCAAAACCGTTTCCCCCCCCCCTCTCACTAGACACCAACGATGGGGCACCGTTTTCCCTTATCCCCCCCCTCTCCACTGACACCAACGATGGGGCAACCGTTTTCCCCCCCCTCACTGACGGCAACGATGGGCACAACGCAACCGTTTCCCCCCCCCCTCACTGACGGCAACGATGGGGCCACCGTTTTCCCCCAACCCTCACTGACGGCAAACGCTGGGCAACCCCCCCCCCTCACTGACGGCAAACGATGGGCACCGTTTCCTTCCCCCCCCCTCACTGACGGCAAACGATGGGGGCAACCGTTTCCCCCCCCCCTCACTGACGGCAACGATGGGGCGAATTAAACCGTTTCCCCCCCCTCACTGACGGCAACGATGGGGCAGGAATCACCGTTTCCCCCCCCTCCACATGACGGCAACGATGGGGCAAACAGCCGTTTTCCCCCCCCTCACTGACGGCAACGATGGGGCATAAAAACCGTTTCCCCCCCCCTCACTGACGCAACGATGGGGCAAACCGTTTCCCCCCCCTCACTCACTGACGGCAACGATGGGGCACCGTTTCCCCCCCCTCACTGACGGCAACGATGGGGCACCGTTTCCCCCCCCTCACTGACGGCAACGATGGGGCAAAACCGTTTCTTTTTTGTTCTTCATTTTTTTCCCCCCCCCCTCACTGACGCAACGATGGGGCAAACCGTTTTTCCCCCCCCCTCAGTGACGGCAACGATGGGGCAAACCGTTTCCCCCCCCCTCAGTGACGGCAACGATGGGGCAAATAGAAACCGTTTCCCCCCCCCCCTCAGTGACGGCAACGATGGGGCAACCGTTTCTCCCCCCCCCCTCAGTGACGCAACGATGGGGCAACCGTTTCCCCCCCCACCCCCTCATGACGGCAACGATGGGGCAAACCGTAATCCCCCCCCTCGTACCGTTTCCCCCCCCCCCTCAGTGACGGCAACGATGGGGCAAACGATGGGGCCACCGTTTTTCCCCCCCCTCATGACGGCAACGATGGGGCAAAACCGTTTCCCCCCCCTCAGTGACAGGCAACGATGGGGCAACAACCGTTTTCCCCCCCCTCAGTGACGGCAACGATGGGGCACCGTTTCCCCCCCCCTCAGTGACGGCAACGATGGGGCACAAAAAAACCTTTCCCCCCCCTCAGTGACGGCAACGATGGGGCAAACCGTTTCCCCCCCCCTCAGTGACGGCAACGATGGGGCACCTTTTCCCCCCCCTCCTTGACCGGCAACCACTGTTCCCGCCTCACTGACACAACTGAGCACTATTACTCCCACAATACCCCAATGACAGGGTGCTATTCCTCCCCCAATACCAAAGATGTGGTGTTTACTCCCACTGATGCCAGGACAATTTCTACTCCCAACAGCCACTGTCCGCCCCCCCTAAAGTCTGAAGGTCAGTAAACTAGCCCTATGTTTAGGAAGTTTGGAGACCCCTGGCCTACGCGATTGCAGCAGGAGAGCGAGTGAGTACCTGTCAATCTCGGGTACATGCTTCCTCCTGCTCCCCAAAGGTGCCAATCCTTAACGGGGAGCGGGGGGACCAGTTTTTAAAGTGGAACTTCCCCTTTTGGGGGAGCTCTGCTTTAAGAATGGACACAATGTGATGCTACGCTGGTCCCAGAAACTGGCGAGCCGCCATCTTGCTGCGCACTGCATGCTGCCGCCTAATGTCCAGCAAACTTGTCAGCAATCCCACATCACTGCATGGCCATTTATCCCACATCACTGCATGGCCAGTTATCCCACATCACTGCATGGCCAGTTATCCCACATCACTGCATGGCCAGTTATCCCACATCACTGCATGGCCAGTTATCCCACATCACTGCATGGCCCGTTATCCCACATCACTGCATGGCCCGTTATCCCACATCACTGCATGGGCCAGTTATCCCACATCACTGCATGGCCAGTTATCCCACATCACTGCATGGCCAGTTATCCCACATCACTGCATGGCCAGTTATCCCCACATCACTGCATGGCCAGTTATCCCACATCACTGCATGGCCAGTTATCCCACATCACTGCATGGCCAGTTATCCCACATCACTGCATGGCCAGTTATCCCACATCACTGCATGGCCAGTTATCCCTTCCCTATCCTATACCAAAAAATTGTTTTAACGTAAAGTGTTCCTAAACCCCCAACAGTACAATCAGTCTGTAGATGCAGTAAAGAATGCTTGTTATACTCACTGTGGAACCTAAGGGGTTAATCCTCTGTATTGTGTAAAAAGGCTGTTTGATCCTGTCTTCTCTGATCCTCCCCTTCTTCCAGTGTCTCCCTTAATCTCCTGATAAGACACATAGTGTGGAGTCACTCTGCACATACTCAATTTGGTGTGTATTGGTAGAGAGGTTTTTTTCTTGGGAGGGTGCATGTGATCAGCACAGGGCCAATTAGCACTGTCCAGACAGAGGTCAGGGGTTTTGCATCCTCCTAGAGCAGAAAGAAAACTCCTCCTACAAGATTTAACCAGTGCTCTGCTGGACACTGATAGAAGTCACAAGACTGCTATAAAATGCTGATGAGAAAAGGTATTTAGCAGTTTATATTTACTACAGTAATTGCATTTTCATGTTGTGTGTACTGTGGGAGATCAGAAATAGTGAATGCGGGGTCCGGGGAGACCGGATATAGTGAATGCAGGGTCCGGGGAGACCGGATATAGTGAATGCGGGGTCCGGGGAGACCGGATATAGTGAATGCGGGGTCGGGGGAGACCGGATATAGTGAATGCGGGGTCCGGGGAGACCGGATATAGTGAATGCGGGGTCGGGGAGACCGGATATAGTGAATGCGGGGTCCGGGGAGACCGGATATAGTGAATGCGGGGTCCGGGGAGACCGGATATAGTGAATGCGGTGTCCGGGGAGACCGGATATAGTGAATGCGGGCTTCGGGGAGACCGGATATAGTGAATGCGGGGTCCGGGGAGACCGGATATAGGGAATGCGGGGTCCGGGGAGACCGGATATATAGGGAATGCGGGGTCCGGGGAGACCGGATATAGGGAATGCGGGGTCCGGGGAGACCGGATATAGGAATGCGGGGTCCGGGGAGACCGGATATAGGGAATGCGGGGTCCGGGGAGACCGGATATAGTGAATGCGGGGTCCGGGGAGACCGGATATAGTGAATGCGGGGTCCGGGGAGACCGGATATAGTGAATGCGGGGTCCGGGGAGACCGGATATAGTGAATGCGGGGTCCGGGGAGACCGGATATAGTGAATGCGGGGTCCGGGGAGACCGGATATAGGGAATGCGGGGTCCGGGGAGACCGGATATAGGGAATGCGGGGTCCGGGGAGACCGGATATAGGGAATGCGGGGTCCGGGGAGACCGGATATAGGGAATGCGGGGTCCGGGGAGACCGGATATAGTGAATGCGGGGTCCGGGGAGACCGGATATAGTGAATGCGGGGTCCGGGGAGACCGGATATAGTGAATGCGGGGTCCGGGGAGACCGGATATAGTGAATGCGGGGTCCGGGGAGACCGGATATAGTGAATGCGGGGTCCGGGGAGACCGGATATAGTGAATGCGGGGTCCGGGGAGACCGGATATAGTGAATGCGGGGTCCGGGGAGACCGGATATAGTGAATGCGGGGTCCGGGGAGACCGGATATAGTGAATGCGGGGTCCGGGGAGACCGGATATAGTGAATGCGGGGTCCGGGGAGAGACCGGATATAGTGAATGCGGGGTCCGGGGAGACCGGATATAGTGAATGCGGGGTCCGGGGAGACCGGATATAGTGAATGCGGGGTCCGGGGAGACAGGATATAGTGAATGCGGGTCTGGGGAGACCTGATATAGTGGATATAGTGAATGCAGGGTCCGGGGAGACCGGATATAGCGGATGCGGGGTCCGGGGGAGACGGATATATAGTGAATGCGGGGTCATCAATAATGCAGACAGGGTGGCTCGGGAGCAAGCCCGCTCAAGTGCCTCCATAGAAAACAGCTTTCAGGGGCGGGGAAGAAGCCAGGAGTGGGGGACACCAGAAAAGGAGGATCAGGGCTGGTCTGTGCAAAAGCATTGCACAGAGCAGAGAAGTATGACACTTTTTTTTTTTTTTTTTTTTGTAAAGCTTCATTTTTAAATTTGAACCTCTTTAACTCCCAGAGGGACCAAGTACTGTACATTTGACATTTGGTCCCATTTAAATCTGTCTTGTAGATGCTAAGTAGCGTGGTTGGACAGGTTTTCCCGTACCTGACCAATAACACTGCTAGAAAGGAGACAGATTTGTGATTGACAGCTCTGATTTCTGAGCAGTGCCTTCGGTCAGGTTCACATCAGGTTCAGATGAGGATGTTATCCCGTTCACAACTGATGATGTTCGGTTTAGAAAAGGTTCCCATAGAAGTCAATAGCCTGAAATCCGCACCTGAACCGGACCGCACTGCTCAGAAATTGTCCAGAACTCTTTTTCAATCCACACTGAATCCTCAACACCAGACATGCACAATAATGCCAAAAGTATTGGTTGGCCGGCCTTTCCACGCACATGAACTTTAATGGCCCCCCAGTCTTAGTCCGTAGGGTTCAATATTGAGTTGGCCCCGCCCTTTGCAGCTATAACAGCTTCAACTCTTCTGGGAAGGCCGTCCACAAGGTTTAGGAGGGTGTCTATGGGAAGGTTGGACCATTCTTCCAGAAGCACATTTGTCAGGTCAGGCACTGATGTCGGGGGAGGAGGCCTGGCTCACAGTCTCCGCTCTAATTCATCCCAAAGGTGTTCTATGGGGTTGAGGTCAGGACTCTGTGCAGGACAGTCATGTTCCTCCACCCCAAACTGGCTCCTCCATGTCTTTATGGACCTTGCTTTGTGCACTGGTGTGC